GGGAACCAGTAATTACAAGAACATTGTTAAAATCTCAATTGTTTACAACGGTTGACACTCTATCTCGCGATGTGTACCCCGTTTAGTTCACTTTAAATAGCTCTTCCAACGTTCTATGGATAAGTTACGTCTTGATCAAGCATTCCAGTTTGAAGCTCAAAGAACGTAGATTAATCTCCTGTCATTGAAAATAACAATAAACAACCAGAACACCGTTAAAATCGCATTTAATCGCGGAATACCACTATTTTTTCGACCGGTTGCGCCACCCGTGGCGAATCGCTGAAACTACTAGCCATATAATTGGTTAGCAGTTTGAGCAAATTGCCACGGGTGGCGCCACCGGTCGAAAAAATAGTGGTATTCCGCGATTAAATGCGATTTTAACAGTGTTCCGGCCGTTTATTGTTATTATCAATAACAGCGGATTAATCTACGTACTTTCAGCTACATATTAAGTACTTCAGCTAAAGGAAAGCTGTCCGTATAACGGTGTAAGAACTGTGCAAAGTGAACTAAACGGGATACGCATAACGAGATACAGTGTATACCGTTGGAAACAATTGTGATTTTAACAATGTTCCTATACTTACTGGTTCCCGGCTGCTAGAAAGTACTAATCTACGTTCTTTAAGCTACAAATCGAATGCTTAGTCAAGACGAAAGGGGCAATTTTTTGACATATAAATCGTTAAGATACGTTAACACTCAGCGCGAACTATTTTCCGGTGGCGCCAGCGACCCTGTGCGATGTGTTCGGGGGGTCATGGAGCCCCCGGTAAAGGCGCCAGAGACCCCGTGTGGTGATAGCGCGAGGCCATGGAGCCCCCGATGGAGGCGCCAATGCCCCCGTGTGGTGAGAACGTGGGGCCATTGAACCCCCGGTGGTGGCGCCAGAGACCCCGTATGATGAGACGTGGGATTATAGAACCCCTGGAGCATACATTAAAGCCCCCGTGTGTGGGAAATGTACTGTGTACAATGTATCTGGCCACGAAAAAGTATTGAATGACAGGTCTATTCCCATACCTCGTCTGTGTACCAACAGAATTTGTCAATTTCTTTTGACAGTTAAATTTCAATAGAACGGACAACACCGTACGTTCATTTAGAATTAAAACTTTTACTGTATTTCTGATAAAATTCTAATCTCGCAACACAGTTATAGAACAATATAATGTATTAATATAATTTATTTTGTCAGCCATATTGCTTTTATTAACATTGTAAACGAAAATCGTACATTTTTATTTTTTTACGTATGAATAGATCAGTATTTTAAATACCCCCGAAGAGATGAGAACAAAAAAGGCTTATTGATGATTTGGAATTAGAATACAGTGTGTAGTTGCTTGTAGTTGATTGAATGCAAACAAGTGAAGTCATGAAAGAAATGTTGACAAACCAAGCTAGTTCAGGATACGGTAATTCCTTTGTTAATAATAATGGAGACACAAATAGCAATAATACAATGGACAATAATTCAAGAAGATATGCTGTGCTTAGTACTGATTGGATATCTGCAATTGGAGAAGAATTAGGACTGCATCCTTTACCTGATTCTTTGCTGAAAAAGTTGGCAGAGGATGCTGCGTATCATCTAAGAGAAGTTCTACACGTACAGTAGTTCGATATCAGTAAAGCAATATTTAATCTACCAGCATAATTAGCATATAAATCATATTTTTAGAAATGTGTAACAAGACTAAAGCATAGTAAGAGGAAACGTTTAACAACTAATGATGTAAATGCTGTGATTACCAATTTATGCGATGTAGACCCTATATTGGGTGCACCAGAATCCATGCCAGAGTTTCACACAGAAGCCAGAGTATTTGTTCCTAGTGAACATATTGTTAATCTAGTACAAACAATAAATGAACCTCTTAGTATAACACAGACCAATGTACCTTTTATTCAAGGTAAATTTGCTCTGATTAAATATAATTTAGTGCCTGATTAAATCTGTAGTAACATTGTTATTGTTGTTACAGAATCAGAAATATGTGACATAAGACTAACAGAAGCACGTAACAATTATGCCAAACGTGCATTAAAGACTTTGTTTAATGGATCCCAAAAGACTTTTCAGGTATACTATTAGTATCTAAGTTAACCGTTTGAATTGGAATCATGTCTGTCCAATGTTATGATACTCTTAACAATTATGACACAGAATATTGTATTTTTCATACTAATGTGTTTATGTTAGCAACATAAGTTTATTTTATTATGTTCAGATTCATGTTTCTAAGAAGAACCAAATTGTGGTGTACACATTTATGTTGTTTGAGTGTTATTTTAAAGTCTCAGATGTCCTGCATTATTCCTAGTTGAATTTCAGTGTACAGGATTTGCTGTAGTAGGAAAAAACAATCAAAACATTTTAACATAGTTCTTATTGTGTTTTATATAACAAAGTTTTTATACAGGTATTATAGGTATTTATTCAGAAAATAAATATTTACTTGCAGGTTTTAATTAATGATTGTGCCACCAATGCACATTTGGGAGGGGAAGGTGTAATAGACAAATTGATGTCAATTGCTAGATCCATGGTCATATCAAATAATGCACAATACACAAGAGTGTCTACTCGAACATGCCAACTCATTATTGCAATAGCAAGTAACAGTGAAGCTGTTTATCCATACCATTTAACATCGGTAATATTCTGCAGTAAGATCACATGAATTCTAATGATTGAGTCTGTACAAAAATCGAGTCGTTTTAGACTTTTAATATTGTTCATTATAGGTAGACAAATTGACTGAGTTATTGCTAGAATTATTATTAGGACAAAGTTTCATAAATACAAACCTTGAAACATTGTTTAAGGAATGTGCTCTTAAATTGATGCTACGTTGGCCGTCAGTTGCTGATAAGTAAATAAATTTGTTGCCAATGAAACGTAATATAATAAAATAATAAATGTACATTCTCACCAAAGAGTCGTGTTCATTAAAGGTATCTTCCAACATTGGAAAATGTATTATTAAAACAAGAAACAGAAAGCATTGTTAGTGAGAAGAAAAAGACAATGGCAATGGAATTACTAGCAAGTATTCAACCTTTAGTATTTTTCCAACACGAGGGAATGCCAGCGGTTTCGGTAGAAAATGTCTTAAAAGATGCACCAGCTGGTTCTGCCTTATGGCACAGGATAGCTGTAAGTTAATATTTTCATTATTGAATGTTCAGTCACTTGCTTGCTGTTAATGTACCTTTACATTTCAGCTTGCTGTTTGTGCTCTTGTGAAGTCTCAGTGTCATGTGCTAAACATTACAGTTCTGATGGAACATTATGGAGATGCATTGCTGCCGTACCTAACCGCTAATTATAAAAGCACAGTGAACGCGTTAAAAAAATCTACACCTCTTCCAATTACTATCAAGAGTAAGATAAAGTACGTGAACGTCAGACCTATGACAACTAATCGAATATTATGGGACCGTCAATCTGCGTTTCCTGACTCTACCTTGAGAGGTCCAAGACGAGAAATTAGGTACTAAGACACGCAACTATAGCCATTATTGTTTACAAAGTTACTCCACTCACATAAGTAAAAACCAGCTTGATAACTTTAATCTCTAGAAGCCATTGGTTTAGTTCTCTTTTTTTCGTTCTCTTTCAAAAAAGGTAAACACTATTCGTGAACCAAAGCCTTTGAGTGGAAATATATTTCAGTTTTAACTATTGAGAAATATAGGAACGTTTCATCCTATCACTTTGTAATATAATTTTAGGTTTGCATTCGCTGGCGGGCGACCAGTACCTCCGAGTAACTTGAGACGTGTCAGTTTACGAGCGAATTACCAAATTTTAAGAAGCGAGCTTCAAGCAACACTCGCACTTGTCGCGTCACGAAGACTATTAATACTGAAAGACAAAAAGAAAAGGCCCTTCGATACTTATAATCTGGTCTACGGCTCTCTTTAAACTTATATGTAGTTGGCGGAAACGATATAATGTAGTCGCAAAGCTGTCGTCGTTCCTGTCAGACGGATCCAATGTCGTTGCAGTGAACAGGGTTGTGTGGTGTGTGTTTGTGATTCCATTTCAACGCCTCAAAGACTTCCACAAAAAATACCTCCAATAGACATTACAGATGCTGTGCATCTCAGCGCGTTATTAAATGATTTATTTCTTTTTTTTTAATGTCAGACCCTTATGGTTTTAATATACACAAAATTATTTTATAAAATAATACTGTTTAAGTTTCAAAATACATGGATTTTTAACATTTCCTCGTTCAAGCGAAAAAACGTTTGTATATTAACGCGTGTACCTAATGTTCAAGTTTCGTTATTTATAATCCAAATTGCAGTAACATCACATTTTTATAACAATGTATCTCGTATATGTCTATAAAAAGTCAGGGGATGTTTATTAAAACAATGATAATAAAAAGACTGAAGTAAATAACTGACCTTATGGTAAAAACCAGTTTGCCATATTTTAAAGACAGTCTTGAAGTCCTTGCGGTAACTCCGTATGTGGTACTAGATGCAGATTATTTGAACACATATATATGTAGATTGGTACCTGTAATAGAAATATTTTCAACCATCAGTGCTGTTTTTTAATGTCGCAATAATTTAAATTCTGCAATGACATATTTAAAAAATCTGTTTTTTAATACCTTCTAATATCTTCTTTCTCGGGCAAGGCACTTAGATCGTTTAGTAAGTCCCATCCGATCGATGAAACCGGCTGCGAAATACTCAAATGAGTGACAAACCTCTATCGTCGCAGCTATAGTTTGTCATGTTTCACAACTGTCGTTGAAAATAAACGAAATATTATAAAAAATAAATATTTACATGTTTGAGGTCAGTCCAATGACAGTGTACATTTTCGCCCGCATTTTTCAAAACAAGAATATGGTGCAGGCAAATTAGCGACGTACTTACAAAGTATAGAAACAATGAAATTGCATAAGACGCAAACTGTCTAATCAAACGAACATTCGTATGAACCCCTTTATTCAAGTACATTAAAAAATTATGTTACAAATCGTTTTTCTTGTCGTAAGAGAAATGCAACTTTTAAATGCCGCCGTAAACTTAAAATCATTCATCGTGGAAAAAAATGTTTTACAATTAGACCGTTAAGGACACTTCTCTCCCATTGATTGAAGAAACTTCCGGCTGTCAATGATGAGTTTCTCTAAGCGTTCCTTTGTCGCGGACGTCTGCTTTTGCGTAAGCTTGAGTTTCGCGGATTCGATGGCCGTTCGATAACCGGTTACATTGCGGAAGATCTTTATATGCTTGTCTCCAGCTACCAACACGTACTCTCCTAGGGCATCAAAGGTCAGACACGTGATGGGACCTATAACAATATTATGTTAGTATCATTTTAAATACTACATCTTCCATATATGTATTAATATTTGAGCGATAACTATATAATATAAAAGAAATTAACAAGGTACCCAGAAAGATATCCTCTATAGTACTGTCCAGAGAGCCATTAATTGTCGAATAAAAACTTAACGAGGATCCGTGAGCTATAACTAACACTTCTGTGTTGGGGGAGATTGCAATGTTAGCTGTTGGTGCACTATCCCATGCCCCAGATAAAAGCATGTGCGGATCTTCCCCTTTCTCAAATTCAACTGTAAATACGCAAATTAGTATAGTGCGATTCTAATTGTAGATTTAATAACTTTCTTACTTCTTGTATTATATAAGCGGTAAGTCCCATCCTTTGATACAGTAGCCATACAACTACTGTCAGCACTGAAGTTAAAATCAAGTATACCAGATGAATGACCAGCAAGGTCGAAAGCTTTTGAAACTTGCTTGAAATCACCGGATTTGGTAAATAGTATCTCAAACACGTTCACGTCTGGTGTAAATCCTGAAGAATAGAATTGAGACGTTATTGAAAAACTGTCTAATATTTCATCGTCACGGGACATTAATAAGTCACTACCTGAAGCGGCAACAAAACGCCCACAAGGTGATACACGTGCTCTGTAAGTGGAACCCAAATGCAGTTCTATTGTTGCAAGAATCTGACCCTTAAGATCCCATATCGCAAGATCATTTGTTTTGCTGCATGTGACTATGTATTTTCCTGTGCATGCAATGTCCATACCAACTACATCGTCGGTATGTTTCTGGAAGATTTATAATATATTGTGAAGATATCGTTATAAGGAGGAAGTTTGACTGTATTCAAGTTTTACCTTTGGAAATTCTAACGCTTTTGTTGCAGAAGCCAAAGTACCATCTGACTTTTTGGAAATCTTGTAGACTTCGATAGAGTTTGCCACACCTTTGTGTATGATAAAAGCTTTACCATCTGGAGACCAACGTATCAATGTAGCATGATCAAATTCAATATTCACACGTAGAGATTTCTTCTCCTTTATTGTAAGTTCTTTTGTGCACCACAGTAAAACAGTCCTATCTGAAATATAGATAAGTAATTTTAGAATGTTTTCATAAGCAATGTACGCAATACCTCAATTACATAAGGAAAGGAGTAAAAAACGATTACACGTTTATTGAACATTTATTGAATATTTATTGAATGAAAAGATTTCAGTTGTATAAGATGTTGTAGCATTTAAAACAATTTGAAATTAGTAAAATGAGCTACACAACAGTATTTTACTCGTGTACGTTATGATAATTATACCATATTTTAATTCTAAGTAAATAATAATGTTGGCGAGGTTGCACTTAATTAACTGCAGTCTCTAATCATCTGCTTCCTTTACTCGGTGGTGGCATAAGATCGGAGTCATCTGGTAAAAATCTATGCCTCTCGATGTAACTGATTAGTCGTTCGGATGTGATAGGTTTACCAATAGTTTTGCATACAGACTCGGCTGTATTTTTCGAATTGGGAAACGATTTATCTGTTCTTTCACGCATGAAAACCCATTGGCAATTTTCAAATTTACACTCTACGATCGCGTTATTCAAATCCTTGATCTCTTTGGTGACTTTCATTTTACCGAATGGCACATCTAATCCTCCCACGTAAAGGTGTCCAACCTTCTTTGGAAGAATTCCGACTCCAGATTCTGTAACTATTTTCAATTTGAAATCTACCGAATTGTGCGATAACGGCTTCCATTTTAAGACTTCTCTGGAGATTCCTGGGCAATAAGGTTCCTTAGAAGGTTGAAATATTAGACCATCAGGTTCATGGCCCAGCTTTTTGGCAAACTTATCGCTTAATAAATTGGCTGCCAGTATCACGTCCCAGAAGAATTTTATTCGTACTGCAAACGGCTCCTTTTCTTTTCGCAGTCTTCCTTCTCTGATTGCTCTGTGTCTACCACCCATAATCTCTTTCTCAATATTATTATAACGATCCGGGTGGAATGGCAATTTACTCACATCCCTACCATCATACATAATTACGTCATAAACTAAGTATCTTGGGATATCTTTACCCTCTGCCTTATCAATTACCATTTCCTACGAAAAGAATATCTTTTAATGTTTCTTGAACAATCGAAAGGCACAGAAAGTGCTCTAATGCAGAAGATTCATAAATCCTTCAGAAAACAGTACTTACACCATCCAACAAAGTATCTCTAAGAGTTCTGTTCACATCTCTAAGATGTGGAAAGGTCAAGCCACTAACTTGAAACACACTATTATTCCTATCTATAAAGTAAATATCTCCATCACCTTGTATCATCATCATGTACCTAAGTAAATACACACCATGAATATTAAGGAGATTTTCAATACTTTAAGTACATTTATACCAAACCTGGTTCCATCTGCCTTCCAGGATACCATGTATGGTTTTTCATGTAACAATCTAATATTATCCTCGTCCATAGATACAGGTTGGGAGCCTGGAAATCCTGTTGATTCCCAATTACATATATCCTGAACACGTCTCTGTATTCCACTTAGTTTCCTTTCATCTAGTGTAGGAGTTACACCAGGTACACCAGCCATGAATACTGGATTCTTTTTATTAAATTCACGCTTCCGTTTCTTAGAAGAAGGCTCCAGACTATGTTTATCGTTTTCAGTACTAGGACCTTCACCTCTGTCTTCTACATTGGAATCATCATATTCCAGACACCAAGCTGGCCTTGGTGGAGGATCTGGAGCATCTTCTATATCATCGTACCTCCTAAACAATTCTTGAATGTAATCTGCTTTATAAATACCAGGTGGTCTTGCATTGGCAAATTCTGCTATGCCAGCATCTACACTAATACCCTCATTCTCTACTAAGTAGCTAACAATAAGGAAGCCAGTTCGATTGAAACCATGGGTGCAATGTACACCAATGATATCCAGTGGATTATATAATGTGAATTTCTTGCAGACTTGTACAAAAGTTTTTATTTGCTCATCGGAAGGAGTCTCTCCATGACCCCTGCACTGAAGTTTCAAATATTTACAACCATACTCTTCTAGGTTCTCCTTATCGTAAAATCTCGTAGTGTTTGTCAGATCAATCCATAGGCCTAATTTCAATTTTTGGCTCTTTAAAGAAGCAAATAGCATATCGATCGTGAAACGACATTCCTCCGGCACCTGGGTGTCGAACGCAGACGACAGAGGTGTTTTAAAAGCGAGAAACGTATTCTGAATTAATTTGATCGCTTTTCGTGGACAATGAAGCCATCGGGGCGGAATTGGACCCTTATTACCGTTCCAATTCGACATATTTACGTTTCCCCTCGAAGATTAACGAATTTTCTAGTCCATCAATCTTGGAAATTCAGAATTTCTTAAAACATTTTTTGGTCGATGTAATGGAAGATGAAAGATGTGACACTATAACCTATACTTTTTGTCTGCACTTCAGTTTATTCTTCTTCCGGCACAGGAAACGAGTTCAATTTCTTCGATTTGTTATTAATAACATTAATTAAATTAAACAAATTGTACTCACTATAGTCAGTGTGAAAATGTACGAATTTCACGATAGGAAGCAAGTATGAAGACACCAAAACAGCTGTTACTGGCGTCCACTGGTCGCCATTACATACTTTCACAACTACGACTCTCGACTCGACGTCTCGATGAGTCGATGACAAACCGACAATCGACAATATCGATTCCATCTTTAGAAATTTGAATTTTTAAGTTTAGAACAAGTAATTTTAAATATTATTGGTTTAAACCTCTCTCATTTAATGTAAAGTAAGGTCTTCATAGGTTCTGATTTTATACAGAAATAAATGTGCATTTACGTGTTTGCAGGTATTTCAAATGGAACTTCTCATTTATCCGCGACGCTGAATTTATAATAAGCTTCGATGTAATTAAAATTTTTACCATTGTATATTTCACGTTGCGTTGAGATAATTGTCGTAGAAAACGTTCTGTATCCGTTGTAAATCGATTCGATAATTTGATCAACGTTACGGCTAGCAACAAATACCGACGTTTCGCGGCAAGGTACTCCCCTGAATTGTCACGCGGATACGTACTGAAACCCAGAAACGGGATAATAAATAATGTCGCTCTATTCGGTGGAACGATATAAAATTAGTACGCTATAAATTGTTTCTTTCCCAACCCGATTGTCCGTGGTTAGATGCGTTACATTCATGGTCGCGTCCGTCGGTTGGATTACCTAAAATATAAACAACGAAGGCAAGGAGGCAGAAGAGGGCAAGGGAAACAGTAAGTAGTAGCAGGGGGAAATCGTGTTGCTCGCAGGAAAGGGATATAACTCGTCCTTGATGTTCCACGTATAATTCGCTCCACGGTAAAATAATCTCTTGCGCATCATCAACGGACATGTTAAGAACAAAAGCATAGCCACGCTCTGTGCTCGCGGGCCGAACCTCGTTGCTGACGAAGAAGGAAGTAGGAGAACATCGGTTGTATCTCACAGAGGTGTCACAAACCGAGCGACTCTATTTTTTCTTAATTTCGAACATTTTTCAAGGGTTTCGTCGAGTCTGCTAATAAAACTACTAGTCTACTACTTTCCGTTCTAACAACCTGGTGACTCAAATTTGAATTTCGACGTCCATCCCCGCTGTATCCCTTTTGTTTCTTTCAAAATGGCGATGATTTTTTTAAAACCTTAGATTTAACGAAATATCGTATATCGTTTCTTGTCACACATTCTATAATATCACAATCGTCGCTCTTTGCACGAGCATTTCTTAGTTCGAAAACGTTCGAATTTGGTTTTTCACGGGATTTCGAATTTGCTTAGATCACCCGTTATTGATACAGAGGTAGTAGTAGAGAGATATCTTTCACAGGCGATACAAGAGGCGGCGGCCTGGTATCGCTTTCACAAAGAACTGAAATATAATTGCCGACGATTGTATAAATGGAAAAGCAGAGCCCCGGTCTCGCGAGGCGGCCGGAGAAAGCGTGACCGGGGTGAACGAGAGTAGCGACGTTTGCAATAAAGCGATACTATACCGCGGCGTTTAACGTACGACTGCGCTAAATATAAAGTCATTCCCGGCGCGGCTCACCTACGCTGCACCGTTCGTTCTCGATGCATGTGAGAATTTCTTATTGGTATTTCGTGTGACCTTCCCCTCATGCGGGATTGTAAATCAACCTATAAACTAAAAAAAGGGTTCATAATTTCTAAGGTAGATAGTACTTGTCGTATGAGATGAAGAAAAGTCCTAATAAACGTGGGTCGAGAAATTAATATTTTCAAAATTATCAACTTTTCGTTTCGGTTAAAGCGAGAGACTTTCTCGCTTCGGGAGCTATTATGCGGTACGAAAACAATGAAGAAAATGGTAAAAAAATATTAATAAACCTTGTAAAAAACCTTCTATAATCAGGAAAACAAGAAAAGGTCCCGCCACTAGGGCATAATTTTCAGGACACCCGGTCAATTTAAAACAAAAAGAATATCAGTGGCATTAGAATGAATCACGATTTTTTCAACACAATCCTTATTTTAGAAGCAAATAACGATTCTCTTGCCGATGTTCCTACCACGGTGTCTTTCTATAGCACGATTCTTCGTTCGAATAGAAGTCAAATTGTTATAAAAAGAAAACAGAAGAAGCGGTATACAGAAGTTATGAGATGCCATTTTATCGTCGATTTCGACGAAAATAAAAAATGATACATTAAACGAAGGGAGTACTGTATTTGCGAGACGTGTCACGGATTTCCGTAAACGTGTACGTGTCCTCCGGTGACTTAACGAACGATGAGCCGTGTATTCCGTTGCACGTATGTATCTTAATGGTTACGGTATAAATTGTATATTTTTGATTACATTATATATTCTTGACTATACGGATACGCGAACGTTCGTTAATGATAGACGTCAAGAATGGAACGATAACGGTCGACACGGAGCGAAACGTGAACTTTTCTGTCAACCGATGTATCTCCAGTCTCGAGGCATCTCGATTCAAGTGTCGAATCTCGATCTCTGTTCGGGGCCGGAGAGAACGCAAATCGGGTCGACGAATTGACGTCTATTCTGTCCACGATAAACACGTATTCCTCCGATACCGCTCGAGTTATTCCGTCGAATAACACAAATATTTTCCTGAAATCCTTCTGGTTTTCTTATCCTGGTTCGTAGATAAAGCGAAAGAAAAAAAGAAACGAAATCGAGCGTACGTACGTGAGCAGGAATTGACGTAACCAACGATCACTGGTGTGTATGTGTATATATCTGTGTCGCAATCGAACGAACAAACGACGTGACACACGTTCGTGTCTTCCGTTTGATTTCTCAATTGGCAATGGCCTAACCTACCTCTGGAATATTTAATGCCCCCCTCCCCTGTTCCTTCGATCTCTAGCGAGTCGAAAGGAAATCCCGTTCTATCCGTCGTGGAAAATTTAAAACGGTTCTTTTGTCGCCTTTCTGCTTTTCCTCGGTTCCGTCCTCTCCTCCAGCCCCTGGCATGAAACTAAAAAAGCCCCAACCTTCCTTCGCCCGTAAACAGTCGCAAGGACTCGTTGAGATTCGCACAAAGTAGGACATCTATCGTAATCGCTCCGTCAACAGCGAGCAATTACCTCGAGCGTGCAAATTTCTTAAGCTTTGCCTCCGACAAAATCGACATCTCACTCTTTCTCTCTCTCTCTCTCTCTCTCTCTCTCTCTCTCTCTCTCTCGTTCTCTCGTTCTCTCGAAGCTATCCATAGGACCTGGACTCGGTTCACCGTCATGAAAAGAATATTTTCAACGCGATTAAAAAAAACAGATTCGACGTTGAATAAACATATATTTCAAGTCCACAGTTCAGGTAAGAGACGAGAGTCTCTCTCGCCCGACCACCATTAGGTCATCCGGAACGGCCCGTGTGTCGTTTCGCGACCTAGAATCGTTGGTCCATGGATTTTCTATTTCTATCCGATTCCACGATCGACATACAGCAAACTTCGACCGCTGTTTTCGGTCTTGTTTTCATTCTCGGGTAATGTCGGTTATAGTCCCGTGTGAAGCTTTTTTTATCCTTGACGTGATTAGCGCACGCGACCGTTAATCTCGAAACTTCTACTTTGGCATGGATTAACTTGGAATAAAAAAATAATAGGATGCCGGTGAGATGTCCCTATTCTTGTTGTGCCCAGGTAAGCAAAGTTACCGCTGGCATTAAAGAAACAAATGCACAAGCACAGTTAGGCCATTTTATTGAAAACTTTCCGGAGACGACGATGTCCAGGGGGTCTATTTTGACCCAGATTGCCGAGAATCACGTCCGGCTACTTGCTACGATCTATGGTGACTATAATTGCACGTTTACAGTCGTTTGTATCTCAGTCTCTGGGTAACGCGTTCAGCAGATCCCAGTGAAGTACGGGTCCAAACGGACCCAGCCATTTAGCCTGACAAGGTGGCAGGCAAATCACGCGAGGAAGCGACGACGCGTATTACCGATCGAGGGAACGCCGCGTAACACGTCCCGTACAACAGAGTTGTTCAGCCAATGAGAAATCATAAATGGCTTGTGAAAATTGAACGACGCCTTTTGCAATTAGAATATTCATCAAGGTGCAAGTGTAACAGCGTGAGGGGGGGGGAAGATTCGTTAACCACGGTTCGAGAAAATTGCATGCTAACACACGCGGAGCCGTCGTTTTATTCATCGAAGGTGAGATTAATTTGTATTTACAAGCCGTATGCCCCGTTCGTTCATTCCACCCCTTTTGGGTGGCCTGTTTTCTCGCTTCCATCGGAGTGAGCCACGCGTCGCGCCTGGTAATCGGAGAGGTCGTCCATTGAAAACGCCTCACGTGGTCACAGACGAAACTGTGAAGTTTTGCGACAAGAGTTAAAATATGTTCGTGACTTATACATATGCAGAAGGGTGAGTCTCCTGAAATATATCCGTCGGTTGTAATGATATGTCAAAATGTGTAACATTCTACTGCATTTGAATTTTCAGATATTGCTATCGGAAATTGTAAATTTTTATTAACTTTCGCAGTCTTGTAACGATTCTTAGGACTCGATAAAGAATCGAACAGAGAAGTGTTTCACGGAAACTCTGCTGTCTAACGACGATCGTGTATGCAGTAGGGTATACACGGAAACAGTAACGGAGAAACGAGAATTACGGAAGCAGGAGAAAAAAAGAAGGAAATTTCCAGAAGGTCCAGGGGTTATCGCCTTCATGTGTCTATTCCCTTAACGGCGTGAGCCATTCCGAGACATATCGCGCTCGATAAAATCGGCTCGCACCGAAAAACGAGCACACTGAATTTGTCTGAAATTGTCTCGTTACGTCATAGGTGTTTTGTTTAGGCGACAGGATACCGCGGTTGTGATACGAATCGCGCCGATTCAACCGCTATCTCGGGAAGATTGTTACTTTTCGTCCTGTTATTACGCCTGGGTTCCTTTCTACGTCGTTTCTATCGGGCGCAATGGGGGGGGGGGGGGGGGGGGGGGGGGCGAGCAAATACGTTCACATATTTGCGCAATGAGAGCTCCGTGTTTTTGTTGATTCTGCTTCGATGTTGGTAAATACCGTTTCGACTACCCACCACGGGACCGAGGCCCGTGTGCGTTCATTG